CGAGCTTGAGACTTAGTTTACTTCTTGAAGAGTCCAGAATGAAAAGCCCCCGGGCAGCCGCTTTCTGGCCAAGCATCCACACAGGCAGCCAGACCGGGCCCTGGCGGTGGGGGATGACCAGGGCTCAGGACCCCTCCCTTCTCTCCACAGATGCTGCAACACCGGCCGCTAGGCCTCACACACCGGCCCGGGGCTGCCTCTGCCTGTATCGAGGGGAGCAGGACTGTTTAGTCTGCTGGGCACATTCCTGAATTTTTCAAATAAATAGGAGATTATGAGCAACTCAGCCTGATGCTGTCATTCGGCCAGGCCAGGGGCTTCTGAGGCGTCCCCAGGGAGGGGCCTGCAGGCACGGCAGGTTAGAGATGTTTGATGAGACTGGGAACTGCTTCTAGGCCTCTCTAGCCCTCTCAGCGGTCCCAGAGAACTTCTACTACTAATAACAACAGCAATGATAATAATCTCTACCGCTGTGTGAAAGCACTGACGATGTGTCAGGCACAGGGCTAGATTATTTATGTATATTCTCTCAGTCCTCACAATAGTTGCCATTCATAGGCCCATTATACAGATGAAGAGACTGAGATTTAGTGCAGTAAAATAACTTTCTCAAAGCCACACGCCTAGTAAGTGGCCATAGGTTGAGTGAAGAGCAGTCTGACTCCCGTGCTCCAGCTCTTAACCGCTGGGTTATGCTGCCTCTCCAAGCCTTGAAATAGACGGCAGCATCCCCTGCCCTCCCCTCCCTGCCCCCCGTCGCCAGCCTTTCTGCTGTTCCCAAGGCCCTTTCCAGCCTGCATACAGCCATTCTCCACTGCGACTCCCTTTTTCCATTTCACCCTTCGCTGGATCATTTTATGCCTCTATTCCCTCTGCTAATTCAAACTAATTAAAGTATAAAATAGAATAATTGCTTCCATCCCCATACTCTTTTTCTATCCACCCAGAGTAGAGTTAGGTTCCCTTTCTAGGAGTGGCCAGCCTGAGAAGTTGGGTGGGAACTGGGGCTATCGAGTTTCTTTTCATCTCGTCCCTTGGTTTTCCACTTGGCTCGCAGCCTGATTTTCCCCGGACTTGCTGTCTGACTTCCATTAGACTCTGAAGATATGGGAGTGACTTGTATTCCCTCCCACAACATCTGTCTACTCACTGTTGAGGAAACTGGGTGGACTTTCTAGGGAAGAGCCAGGCATGTTACCAGTGGAGAGCCTGGGCAAATAACAGGATTGGGGAATAGGTTCCCTCAAACTCCCCTGGGTCTGGCTGGCTTCAGACATATTAACAGCATATTAACTCAACTTGTTAGGCAGTGGCACTAATGACCCAACACTTCTGATTAGTCCTATTCCATTTTTTAATTACATTTAATCAACACATACAGGGAGAGAGAGAGAGAGAGAGAGAGAGAGAGAGAGAGAGAGAGAGAGAGAGAAGAGAGAGAATAAGTTATATTGAATTTTTTTTAGCTCTGTGGGAAAATGAAAGCCTCTATAGGTGGAGACTTGAGACTTCATTCTACTCTCACATGGTGTCCTGAATACAATAGGGTGCCATGTTTGGGGCTGGGGAGGGGAACAGAGAGAGCAGAGCATGGGGAAAAGGCGAAGACAGTGGTGAGAGTAGGCTGCCTGGAGATTTATCATAAAGTGAGGTGACGGGAAGGCCCACTCCCATGATGTCTTGTAAGGTTTCAGGTCTTCCAGAGAACTCCAAAGCCTTAAGTCACTGCCTCAAAATAGAGACACACTTATCCACAACCACCAGCATTGCTCCCTCTCTACAGCGTTCCCCCTTCAGGGAAGAAGTCCGTATGAATACACACGGCCTCGTGAACTTTGAAGCCCGTCTACTGTGCTTTGGTGTTGTCTTCTGGAGAGAAGAGTCCTGGTGCCAAGACCTTAGATAAGCCCCTTTAAGATCTGGGAGAGACTGGAGACTAGGATTGATTCTCTCCATCTTTATAGGTGAGGAAACGTGAGGAAACGGAGTCTCTCTGCAAAGTTAACGGGCCAGGCCACCCAACTTGTTAGAAATGGAACCTGGACCAGAACATAGGCCTCCTGATCAGCCTGGGGCCTCCTGGGTGTGCCACCTGCCACTTCACTTCCTTCGAATCACACTCATTGTCACCACCCTCCTGAGTCATGGAATCAGAAAGCCTCAGAGCTGGAAGGGGCCACATAAAATCTTCACATCGACACTGGAAACCAGATTCCCATCTGTGGTCCCCACTGAGCCTCATGTTGACCCAAGACACACTGAGGCGAACTGACTTATAAAAGGCCGCCCAGCTAGAAAATGTTGAGATAGGATCCAAATTGGAGCTTTGGACTTCAGAGACAACCCTATTATCTGATGCCACTCCTTTATTTTATAAGGGAGGTAACTGGAGCTGTTCGAGGGCCATACTTCCGGTTATAGCGAACGCTGGGCTAGAACTCAAGTCATCTGACCGCATTTTCATTAGTTGTTCTGTTGACATACATTAAAGAGTTTCCTTTAGGAGGTCCGAGCTGTCTGTCTGTGAACACTCTGTGCTCATAGCTGCTCAGACTCAGACAGATGGGCTTCCTGAGCTGTTCTTGGCCCTCATCCCTGGCCCCAGCCCCTGGTGAAATCACCTGGCTACCTATTTCTAGATGATTTACAGCTCCCTGGGCAACAGGCCTCCGAGCTCCACCACAAATCCCCCTTAGACTCTGCCTACTGCTCATAGCTCCACCTGGTATATGTCACCTACTAGAGACAGCCCCATGGCATTCAACCCAAACTATTCCTATATCTGTTCAGCGTGACTGGCTACTACTGAGCCCCTCTGCCTGATGCAGCTGAGGCAGAAGGACAGGACATTTAGAAATAAGTGACATCGACACTTGGTTTAGCCAGAACTGATGCTCTCAAAGGTGACGCAAGAGACGGCCTCAAGAGGCCCTTATATTCTCTAACGGCCACTCATCAGCCTCCATCCCTGGCCTAGGTGTCTTTGGCCACATTTCAAATGCAATTTCAGAAAGCATCCTATTTGAGAAACAGATATGCACCCGAAAAACGGATGCCTTGACTAAGGTCTCATTGGTCACTTCCATTTGCTGTTTATGTTTTTCCACTTCAGTGGGGCTCAGAGCTTTTATCCAAGAAAGTGCTTTTACCCAGGCTTACCCACTGGTCCTCAGCCATACCTAATGCCTTTTGCAATTATCATGTATAATGGGGGTCTATTTGATCCCTCGGACCATCCTTTCACCCACCCATGCAGACTGCCATCTATCCCTCCCTCCCGCTATCTGTCTGTTTTCTTGTAGAAAGTGTCTGGAATGGTGTTCACCAAATGCTAACAAGGTGCTGCATTTTGGGTAGTGGGTTTGGGGGCTGGTTGCTATCTTGTTTTCCATATGTATTGTTGAAATTTGTATAGTGAGCATCTACCATTTTTTTTAAAAGAAATAACCCTTGGTTTATAAGGGAAAAAAAATAGGAAGAAAACGCAGAGTATTTATAGATTTAAACCTGATGTTATAGATTTCTGGGTATGTGTCTTTCCCTCGTTAGACTGTAAGCAACTTCAGGGTAGCGACTGAGCCCCGTTCCTTTTGATATTTTGGCCTGTACATTGTTCCCAATAAATATATTTCAAGTAATGGTTTTTCAGGGCTCACCAACTGTTTTATTGGAACGATAGGTCAGTGTTTACTTCCAAGACTGTCTTTCCCACTGAAGGTCAGGCAGAGCCTCCTCCAGCTCCACCAGGTTCCCATCTGGACCTGTTTATGCCTCAACTGCAGGGGCCACATGAAAGGAGGTAAGAAGACAGGTGGGTTCAAGAGGATCTGGATGTAATTTGCATGTCATTAGCATATGATTTGTGCCATCTATTCTCCAGAAGTAATTTTCAAGTTAGAGCTGCATCACTGCTCCACCTCATGCTGTCATGTGCCCATTCGCCTCTTCGTTCCTCCCTCCACTCATCCATCATCCCCGGAGTCAGAATT